AATTTAGTGAAGTGGCTTCCTACTTCTTTCGTGGATGGTGTCAATGACGAAGGGAATACCAAGATCATTATGAATTGTTTCATTGATAACGTACCAAGGGGCGTTAATAATTGTGCGAAGTGCCTTGGATTGTGTTCTCCACTTTTTTCGGTTCAAGACTGAGCTGATTCATTCTGTATGACATCTGTTGCATCGATTTTGTAGATTTGGGCCACTGCCAGGTTATTACCCTTCAGCCGGTGGCTCTTCGCAGGCCACAGCCCAGGCTTCTGCCGGGTCTAACGGAGGACCGTTCGGAGGAGGGTCCGAAGCTTCGGCGTCCGCAGGTTCCTCCGGGAGTGGCGGACCCTTTGGAGGCGAAGGAGGTAGCCAAGCAAACGCACAAAGCGCCAGTTTCAACGTCGGTCCGTTCTCCGCCTCGTTCAGCATCGCTGAATCCTCATCGGGTGCTCAACAGTCGCAGATTTACTGAGGCTTCTCCGGTCAGTACCAATTAATTCGACGGAATTTGTGCATCCATTTTATGTGTACATTTATTTTTTGCTGATCGAGCTGTCCCTTTAAACGTCGAGTCTAGACCTCGATCGTCGATGCTTGGCGAACTTCGTCTACCTGTCTATCCGTCTTAATAGACAGATTAATACCCTTGAATAATACCCTAATACAGATATTAATATCCTTTGCACTCGAGTGGCGACTCCGAGGCGCCATTAAAAATTGTTATGTCACGTTTCGAAATAATTTTATTAATCAAATTTGTTCATATTTAAATATTCAATTTCATATGTATAAAATGCACTAGGTCATAGAAAATGGAAAAACTATTTTAAATTTTGCGTTAATTCGGCTTCGAGAGTGCAAAGGGCCAACCGTTTGAGGCCCGGGGGACATTGAGAAAACATAGAGAAATGCCGAACAGCGCTTGTCTTAAGACGCGTATTATTAGTTTATAAATATTTCAAGTTTTGTTCGATAAAAATTATTGAGAAGATAACAATGAAATACGAAATGCGTTAATTGTATTGTTTGCATAAAAAAAGCGATGTACGCGCGCCAATAAAGTTGACCGCGCTACATTGTCAGTCTGTGAGTTCACCATCAGTTAGCTGTCCATAGCGTTTAAATGGCTGGGATTTCGCGACACAAAATCTAAACAGCGCGATCGCGCTGCTTGGGACTCGAACGTTTCAATCTGGGAAGGCAAATTCTACCCTGTTACGCGGGACATTTATTTCCGACTCCTAAACCTTTCAAAGGCTATAGCCGGATAAGACGGGTCAAATGTGGCCGCTGACCGAATTGATTTCTGAAAACCCTATCTGGAAAGTTTTAAATCAGCACCCCCGCCACAAGGGTAGCTACAAATTCGATTTTTCGAATAGACAAATTACGCTCTATTTCCACTGTTTTGTCGAATGCAAAATTATGAACAAATTCATGAATCGTCTAACCTAATGCTGCACGAAGCTGTGATTTCTTTCAGAATTTGCAAAATCAATTCTTTTCAGAAGTTCGGAATTTAAATATGCTGATTTTGTACTGAAGCTATCGAGAGAGAGAGAAAGAGAGAGAGAGAGAGAGAGAGAGAGAAGCACCACATTTATATTTTTACAGTAGCAATGTCTTACTATAATTGCATTAAATTTGATTGCTATTATTTAATAATAAATTGTATTATTATTAATATAATAATAATATAAATAATATAATAATAATATAAAATAATAATATAATATTATAACATTATTAAATATAATTAATATTATAATTAAAGAAATAATTAAAGAGAAAGATGCTCGAAGAAATCCCTTTAACGAGCATTACTACACGCGTGTTTATGCCAACACGTGGCTGAGTGTGTACATACGGTCCGGCCCGTGTGTCATAATCGAGCATATTAATCTCGCTCGCAGAGGTCAAGCACAGGCTGTGAAACTTAACGAGGCTCGCGTGCAACCGAGACGAATCGGTTCGACGCGAATCGGTTCTTCCCGCGATTCCCTCCGGTGCGAAATGCCTGAGCGTGCGCGGTTTTCACTGTTAACGTGTCGAGAACGGTCGCCAGTTAGCGTCGATTAATTGACACGTTTTTCCTTTTCATTGGCAAGCGAAGCCTCGGCGCGCGTTCCGAGAACCACGCGGTCGGACGACACGCGAGGCGATTCGATTAGAATTGTGCGACCTTCGAAAATTCAAGTGGTTTTCACGGGAACTATGATGAAAACAGATCTCTTTGGACCTCTTTCTCGCTTCTATCTCCAATAGAATTGAAGAGGTTTCGAGTATAGATCCTTTGAGATTCTGGTGTTTTGAATAGATATGCGACTATCGCGATTATCGATATTGCATCGATATCTTTTATTGATATACATATAACGTTATATCGATAATATCGTTGAAATATCGTTAAAGCAAACGGAGAGGCTGATCGTAGAGGTTTAAATCGAAAATTGTAAATTCTACATTATAAATGGTAAATTCTAAATTGTAAATTTTGCGAAAAAAGAATATTGCAAATTGTAAATTCTAAATATTAAATTGTAACTTGTAAATATAAAACATATCATAATAAAACATAAATATGTACACAATATATAAATGAATAAATTAGTCCAGATTCTGGATCTGGATGATTATACAGGGTGTCCCAAAAGTCACTCGCAATTGAGAAATGAGAGGTTCCTAAGATCATTTCAAGTAACATTTTCCTTTACAAAAATGTTCTCCGAGGCGTCGTTAACGAGTTATTAATGAAAAACAGTGACCAATGAGAGGTGAGATCAGCTGGCGCGAAGCGGCCCAGCCAACGAAGCCCAGTTCCGCTCAATAGCTCGGCCGCCTCGCATCAGCCGATCTCGCCTCTCATTGGTCACCGTTTTTCATTAATAACTCGTAAATAAAGCCGCGGATTGCATTTGCGCTAAGGAAGAAGTTTCTTGAAATGACCTCAGAAACATCTCATTTCCTGATTGCGGGCGACTTTTTGCACACCCTGAATTTAGGCGAGAAGTCTTCAGAACCTTAGATCCTACCAGACTCTGTTAAACTAATAAAGAATTTTTGTATCGAGTTCGAAGTATTATTTCAGCTGAATTAGTAGATTGAAACGAAAATGAAATCGTTTACAAAAGGAGCATATTGTAGCCAAAATTTGATTAAGCAATTGATTAAATGAAATATCTGATGAAACATTTGATTAAATAATAAAATCATTACACTTTGTATAATCACAATTGAATGAGGCATTTAAGCAGCTATTTTTTGGTGGACGGTAGCACAAAAGAATTGAAAAAAGTTCGTGCAACAATCTTGAATGGATAAGCGATAAATTACTATTCGATACAATTCACAGTCTCGAATTTATGGCTCTAATCTTGCGACCTCCTTTCTACGTTCAAGAACAAGCCGTAAATCCAGACGGGCAAGCCGGGTTAACGAACTTCGGCCATTACGAATTTACAGGTATTATTACGAAAGACTCAGCCGCCTCGCTTCGGGCGTACAACGCAAACATCTGTCTGTCTATCGGTTGCACGAAAAGAATGCCGATCTTCGGTATCCGCTTTCGCGATGTCCATTGAATCTCTGTTTTGTCCCTGAGCGAGGCTTCCCGTGTATAATAAAACTATGCTTGTATTGGACCACCAATCTAGCTTGTTTTAACTTCTCGAAAAATATAATTTTGGATGGAACTTTCAAGTGGGGGAGATCGGGATCGAAAGTAACGATAATATGGGAAGAGGTTTTCTATTTATTTTTTATTTATTAATTTATTATTTATCTATTATTATTTTATATTATTATTTTTATATCATATTATTATTTTACATTTTATTTTTTTATTTAATTATTTATTATTATTTTATTTACTTATTTAATTTTTTATTTATTCGAGTCTTGCGTCTCGCTTTTATACTGTAATTTAAAATCTAATAGTGTTATTGTCACAAGTTTTGAACGCGTCTCAGCAATGCCAATTTTTCTCTGGCCTTCGAACAATTCAATAATTATTTTTCTCTCGGATTCAGTTAGACGTCGCATTCTCTCTGACATTCTAATTTGACATTGGCAACGCGAGCTGCACTTGACAGTCGTTACCTAGAAACTAATGATGTTTGAACATGCTTGTTTGTATTGTAAACTTCGCTTATTCTGAGAAATCCGACTGTTCTTTAACGTTAGTCACAAACGTTCGTTTTGGTTTCTGAACACCGTGTTAAATGGCAGATCTTTCACAGGCACATGATATTTTCATTTTCAAACGTCCAACGGTCCTGTGTGACTTTCAACGTTTGAATAATGTTTTGAAGATTGAGAGAAACGTTCGCGTGTGTATACAGGGTGATTTACGGAACTGTAACAAGGTATATCTTCGTTTTGGTTCGAGTTAGGAAAAAATCTTAGAGGAGCAAAATGAATGCTTTTAAAGAGATCATAATGTGAAATAGTTTATCCGTAGGTGGACGCGTAGAGGTCATGTAAAGATCATCGAAATGGATACTTAAATTCTTTTTTCGAATATATCGAATCCTTTCTTTACTCTGCTGAAAAAAGTGTTACAACAATTTAAAAGATTTTTTTTTAATTTCTTCATGATGTTGCATTACATTAGAATTATTACATTATTTCATTACATTAGAATTATTACATTATTCCATTACATTAGAATTATTACATTATTCCATTACATTAGAATTGTTACATTATTCCATTACATTAGAATTGTTACATTATTCCATTACATTAGAATTATTACATTATTCCATTACATTAGAATTATTACATTATTTCATTATATTAGAATTATTACATTATTCCATTACATTAGAATTATTACATTATTCCATTACATTAGAATTATTACATTATTCCATTACACATTAGGATTATTACATTATTCCATTACATATTAGAATATTTTCAGCAGAATAGAACACCAGCACACGGTGCAAGGATAGTTACACAATTCCTTACACTTACATATGGCGATAAGTATTTCAGTACACGTTCTCCAATACCCAGAGAGCCTCGTTCGCCTGATCTGAATCTTCTAGATTTTCTTCTCTGGGCGACACATACAAAAATAAGGTACACGCATATCTTATTAATTCAGTAGAAGGTCTGAAAGAACAAATTATAGTTCGTTGCAGAGCAATAACCAAGCAAGAACTTAATTCCGTAATGAAAACGATTAAAAAGCCTTCAATGAAATGTTTAGAATGCGATGGGAAGATGTTCGAACATTTACTTCGATAAAGACATTTTTTCAAACAATATTACTTTCTTACGCAGAATAAAGAAAGGATTCGTTATATGCGAAGAAAAATATAAGTATCCACTTTAAAAATAAACGTCGGTGATCTTTACATGACCTCTACGCAATCACCTACGGAAAAATTATTTATTTCACATTATGTCTTCTTTAAGATCATTCATCTTTCTCCTCTAACATTCTTTCCTAACTGGGAACAAAACGAACGTATAGCCTGTTACAGAGTTCCGTGAATCACCAAGTATAGTAAATAAGTAATTTCCGTTTCATTCACAAGCCTTTGTTTTATGTTAATGCTTAACACTCGAACGGCAAAATCTGATCATCAACGATTGGCAATTACAACCCCCTTCAGATGCTTGACGATGCTTCTTTCCTCGACCAATCTAATATCTTTTCAATCCTTATATATTGTGCTATAATCATCTGTTCTCTTCTTCTTTAGCTATAGCTAAATAGTTAATATAATATTTTGCGAAGAAACGTCAAACAACCAGTTTTGTGCAAACAATTTATCATAATTTCATTAAACGCACCGTAACCTTTTGTACTCGGATGGTGACTCTGGCACACTATTCAAAATTGTTACATCGAATTCCAAAATAATTTGTGTATTATCAAATTCGTTTACATTTTCATCTTTTTTTTCGCAATGCATGCGTCGCCTGTTGCTATCGTAGCTCGTTAGGTTCGCGGTGGCGATATCACGAGCATTGAACCTTGCGGAGGGCTCTCCGAAGAAAGTCGAAGTTCCGAGGGTTAACGAACTCGGCGAATTAGAGGTGAAAAGGAAGGAGTCCGGTCGCCTGTCGGATCGCGAGCTCTCTCGCGCCGGCGTTGCGGCCAGATCGCAAGAAACCAGGCGGAACATCTGTCCCGAGGAGAGCACCGGCTCGGCCCAGCTCGAAGATGCAACAATCTTTGCTTATATGTCACTTTTGTCGAGTGGCTTTGACGTCTCTTTCCCTCCTTTCTTCGTTTCTCCCCTGGCCACGCATGGTCTCGTCGGTGGACGCACACGACAGAAGCGAACCAAACAACGACGCGAAACCCAGACACCAGCGCAGCGTACGCGCGTCGATTATTCAAATGCACGCGAGCGTACGCGAGAGTTTGAACGTGCGCTCGCGCGCGCGCGCTCGCGTGCGTGCGTGTGTTCTCTTGCGTAGTGTGTGCGAAGCCCGCGGAACCTGTGCGAAAGGGACGTCGTAAACGCGCGCGCTGCCCGCTATTGTCCTATTGAGCCGTGCTCCTTTTGGTACGGTGTGAAAAAGAATGGACAAAGGGAAAATGAATCTTCTTGGTTCTCAGGCGATCGGCAGACGGCCAGACGGGACGGATTAACTCGTTTTAAAGGGATCGGGACGCCATATTGTCGGTCGGGGCCCGGTAACTCCGGTACCTACGGAATCGAGCAACGAGGCCCCTCGGACCCCTCCGCCGCTCCGTGCCCTCGAACCGGTCTGTTTTGATTCTGAAACGCGCCTACGCGCGCGGTCCACGAACTCGCTTCTCGAATCCGTTTCACCGACACGGTGCACGGTTTCACTGAAAACGTCTGCAAAATTCCGAAAAACCGTGTTTTCTACGTGAAATCTGATTACTACTTCGACGTGTTATTTTCGTCGCTGCTGCAATGGTTGCATTTCCTTGACATCAATAACTTCCTAGCTGAAATAAAAGTTCATAATTGTGTGCCGACTTGGAGAAACTTTATTTGAAACGAAAATAGAAAGCAATTATTTGAAATAATTGTTCAATACTGTAATGTGTTCAATGCTGCCACTTGAAAGCAAGAATAATATCGATCCATTTGAAAATAATATTTCAAATAATGTAATTGCAACGGTGATCACAGGCGTCGAGACAATTATGAAATGGTATGACACTCGTTATTTGTGACGATATTTTATGCAATGTTATTTCAAATGTGTCCAGGTCTGTCTGTATATTTATTTTTATTATTATTATTTAATAGTAAACGGGCTGGAAGTCCTTTGTTTTATGTTAATGCTTAACACTCGGACGACAAAATCTGATTATCAACGATTGGTAATTACAACCCTCTTCAGATGCTTGTCGATGCTTCTTACCTCGACCAATCTAATATCTTTTTAATTCATAGATATTGTGCTATAATCCATCTGTTCTCTTGTTCTTTAGCTATAGCTAAAAAGTGTAATATAATATTTTGCGAAGAAACGTGAAACGATCAGTGAATAGTTTTGTACAAATAAGTTATCATAGTTTCATTAATCGCACCTTAACCTTTTGTACTCGGTTGGTGACTTTGGCATAAAAAAACCATTAAAAATTGTTACATCAAATTCCAAAATAATTTGTATCTTATCAAATTCGTTTGCATTTAAAAAAAAAACTGTGATAAGCGTAACTGTTGTATGACTCACAAGATTCAATTGCAAACGCATAAAATATAGTAAGTCATATAAAATGAACTATTTTCGATTTAGAGTTAAAATGGCTTCGAGTGCAAAGGGTTAAAATATAAATTATAAATTTCCAGTAGTGATGCTTACTTTGTACGCATGAAATGTCGTTAAAACAATTGCTAATTGTCTTTGACAAGAAGACAGATAAATAATAATACCACTTTGTAAATGTTAATGTGAAAAGGGAATGATAAACGTTATTTATATATATATTTTTTTAAATTTATATTATATTATTTTATAATATTATTATAATATATTATATAAAATTTATGTTTTTAATATATTTTTATATATTATATATGCATATAATGCAGGTTACTCTACGATTTGTTTCGCGGAAGCAGCTAATAAAATCGCTCATAAGCAGCTTTCAATTGTTTTTAACGTACAATATTCTCATGTATGTGGTCTTTATCAGTTGAAAATAATCACGGAAAAATTTAGAATATGTTTTGAGATCCTCAAATTTAAGATGTAGACCTCGAGTATCCTTCGAAAAATAACTTTTTCAATGAGCCGCGATCCTGTGGATTTTCGAAAACATTAGATGCGATTAAAAAAAATTAGATTCAGCCCTCTGTTCGCCGTGCCGGTCCTGACGGAACTCGATATGCAAATCGCCCCGAGTCTCCCTGTTAGGGGTCATCCGGGAAGGGTTAAAGGTCACAAGTGGTTCCACGTCGTACATTTATTTATGTTCGGGACTATGGTCGGGGGAATGTAGATTTTGGCCTACCCTACCGTGAAAGAGCCAAGTCCAGTTATTATTGCGTGCAGCAAACAAACTCTGACTATATTTAAAGCGCGCGCGCGCACGCGGCCACGTTAAACTGCGCATTATATCTCGCGGTAAGAGTGTCAACAAAGGATAAACATTAAAGTCAAATTTCGGGGATCGATTTCCATGTGGTACAATGTTCAAATTTTTGTGCAGATCCGTTGCTTTTTCTTGGGACAATCTAGATTTTCTAGCTGTGTTATTATATTAGAAAAAAAAACATTTTTTAATGATGAAATTGTGCGAGGAAATAAATTAACTGATTATGAAGGTCCAATTAAGGATTAAAGTCTATTGAATACTCATTTGGTACCGTAGGTTTCATAAAATTTTCAGCCGATATGTTCGGAGTAATAATATGTTTAAAGAACAATATTCCGATTCACAGAAGTGCTATTATAATTTTTATTAAATCAAATTTCAGCGAAATTATCAAGCTCAGTACAATTATGATTGGTCAAGAAAATGTAACCTAACCCGTTATCCTGTAATGCAGGGCCTGGCTTGTTATGAAGATTTTAAACATGATTTATTAAACGTGATTATTATTCGCGTCTTTTAAATCGAAGTAAAGTTCTATCTTTTTATTATAAATATTTGGACGACATGGGAGTAAAGGTTGGCAAAAAACAAATATAAATGATCTGTCTCACGTAGGAATTTATTAGTGACAAAAAAAAGTGTTAATGAACATAGCTGTAAAAGAAATCGTAGTGAAAGACAGAGTTGGGCATTTTATTCGAGTGATGGATGAGAGATAAAGACTAAAGATAAAAATAATTTTTTCGATACTGTCAAATAAATTTCCAATCGAATAATCTAGGTAAAAGTTTATCTGAACAAGATTTTATTCGAATAAGAATTCATTCGTTCAGGAATTTATAAGCAAAATAATCGATTCGAATAAGAATGATAGAATATAAAGTGTTCTTTTTATAGCTCATTGATTTATTTATTTCATATTCCTTTTTTTAAACGAATCGGAAAGTTTACTACTTTTTGGTAGATTATCCATCACGGATATTACGCGTCACTGACTAAATAATCTTTCTGCGGCTACAGAGGAAGTTATCAACAATTTTATAATTCTGTAAATACTTGAAATTTACGTGATCCTGAATTTCTGAACTGTCAACAATTATTCGCATTATAATTCTAATAATTTTACAATCTCTGTTCGAATTACTTATTCAATTAAAGTATTATGCAAATGATTTATTCGAATAATTTACGACGAATATTTGTTTTTATTTAATTTATTTAATGTCGCATCTGCTTAATAGTAATTAGCGACCACTTGTGGGATAAAATTTGTATGGTTACATGTAGCATAATATACAATAGTTTTGCATTACATTTTTACATTATTTTCTTAATCAAGTCTTCGTAACTATATAATTTCGCTAAATAATTTGGTTTCTCCTAAGCATGACATAACTTTTGCTGTTTGTTTGCAGTTGTCCAAATATTCTTTGATAATATATCGGGCATTTTTACTTTTTTTTGATATTGTTGTACACTGGACATTCTATTAGGATGCGCATAGCTCTAAGCTCAGTGTGTTACAATTGTTACAAATTGGTTTGTACGACGAATTATTCTCGCATTATTATTATCGAATTATTCATATAAAGTATCCGATGCCGAAGTCTGGTGCAAGGGTATACATATGAATGAAATTCGTGACCCCCCGATTGTTTTCTCAGTGCCAAATGAAAGACGTTCTCGCAAGGATCGGTTTAAATGCCCGAGTCAGTAGACATTTAACAGGAAACTCGTCTAGCACGTTCCCTCGTCTATAAAATCGCTAAAAATGCTCTTTTTGTTCCACAGGTCTCTCTCACCGGCTGAAGCACCTCCCGACTCTAATTTATTCGAGCACCGATTCGCTACGATCGTCGATTCATGGCAGCGGTTGGCCATTGTTTACAAACATTCTACGTCACTAGGTATAAGCAAATGAAGCAGCAGCAGCAGCAAAGGCGGCAGCAGCAGCAGCAGCTTGGCGTGAGAGGAGACGGAGGAAGAGGCCCTGGGCGCACGCACGCACCACCCTCCATCTTTGAAGATTTCCTGGGAGCGAGTTCCCTTTGTCCGCGCGGGCAACCACCAGATGTTCTCGCAAATAAAACCGACAAAATATCGCGACGCTGCATCCCAGATACGGGAGAAACGAGGACCGGCGTGCTTGGGCGGAGAAGGACCGAGGAGCCGAGCTGAGGGCCCGAGCTGAGAGCCCGAGGATTAACAGCACAAAGGGAGGCCAGCGAGCAGAGGGCTCGCCAAAAAAAAGCGAACACCGAAAATTCGGATCCGAACCGAGAGAGCCGTGCAATGACCGGCCGATCTGCACACGCGATCATCCGCGCGGGCCCTGTATCATCCTGCTCGCGATCCGATTCCGCCTGCAACTTTCTCCTGCCGAGGTTTCGCGTATAAAATCACCTAATATGATACGTGCCCGCAATTTTGACCCCATCTTGAAGCAGTGGCGTAGGCAATACGATAACAGATAGATGCAGCAGATGAGTGTCGATGTAAAAATTTTGTTTATATATCTTTGGACGTCGTTCTTTACAAATTCGCTCACACACAAACACAACTGTAGAAAAATGTTTATTCGAATATGGGTGTTTCTAGCAGATTTGGGAATTACTCGGATTGCTTCGAACAAATATTTATCTGAGATGAAATAACTTTGATATAATCTTTTGGTCGAATGCTTTTTTGTTCGAATAATATATATATTATTTATTCGCGCAAGAATTCTTGAGAATCCTCTATGTAAGATTTCCATTATTATTTTTATGTTGATACCGCCACTGTATTTATTAAATTAACATGGATGGCCGTGCGGGTTACATAAACTACGTTGATTTTGTGAGATTTGTATGGTCATTGGTTCGGCAATAAATGTGTCACAACGGGAAGTACTATGCTCGAAGTACTCATAAAATTCGCATCGCAAATTAGCCTCTATTTACGGCAGGTATCGGCTAAAGCTCGCAAGGCAATTGCCTCGCAACGTCCATCGTAATTGCGCAGCGTCTTCTGTCTCAGGATTTCTCGATTCATCTTGGGTAGTTCCTTTATGAGCACGTGATCCTCCTCCTATCGCATTTTGAGTAACACGTGTACTACCGTCCATGCGCATGCAAGTACGTGGGCACTTGGTGCAACCTAATCGGACGCTTTTTATCGTTTTCAAAAGTAATTTATAAACGTTGGAAAAATTTTGTTCACTCCGCTGTAGGTTCTACATTATTGCAAAGAAGATACGTCTTTCTAGAATTTTTCAAATATCCACAGCAATTTCACGCATGCCTGTTGAGTAAATGTGCTGCAGAAGAACACTGTAGATTACGCTATGCTCTTAACCCCTTAACGTACCATTATTTTCGCGGTTACTGTGATTAGAAGTATTTCGATCGCAATAATTTCTTAGAAGCGAAAGAAAATTGCCTAAATTTACTTGGATGCTTAAATATTGATGACACGAAATTATAAGTTTATTCCAATTTTAAAGGACAGAATAATAATAATAGAACAGGGTTATAATAAATTTTCATGATGTGTAGGACTTATCGAAGTACGACAAGGTGGTTAAACATAAACTTTAAATAATATACTTCTACATTTCTTATTCCTCCTTGACACTTGAATGGTGATTCATTTAGTCTACGGTTGTGCAATTGGTCGCAATATGAAGCATCTGGATAAAACATCATTATAAATACGTTTAAAAACGCTATGAACAATTCCTTAAATGAATTTAAATGTTTCCAACCGTACGCCTTCTAAGTGTTAATTTCCAAAGTTTCAGTGTCCAACGTGTTTAATAATATTTAAAGTGCAAAGTGTAACATTCAAAGTTTCGAAAGCTTGCGTCTGATAATCTTATATTCAAAGTAGAAAAGTGTATTCAACATTTGCTGACGTTTCCTTAATGAAAAGCAAGAAATAGTGGATCGATTAGAAATATTTAATTGAGGTATCCGGTAATTTTAATATTTTTAAGGGAATTAGAAATGTCTAAATATTTAAGGATGATAGTGCATATACACGAGTTTTAAAATGTTTGTAGGTAATGACGTCCCCTTGCTTTGAAATCGTTTTCGCGGCGCCACCTTGACATAGCTCACATTGAGCTTCTTGTTTCCTTTTACAGTAAATTCTCTCTAATCTAAGATATAAATAATGTATAAAATACAAATAAAATACAAATAATAATAAAAATCTATATATAAATAGAGAATTTGAGAAGAGGTGATATGATTATCCGAGCCTCGTGGCTCGTTTTTATAGTCGACGATTGTCAACAACTATAAAAACGAGTCGCGAGGCTCGAATAATCGTATCTTCTCTTCCCAAATCGTCCATTTTTGTGCACAAGCGTCACTTCGAGAGAATTTACTATACTTGGAAAAATCAGTAGAAATATTCTAAACTCTAAACACATTGACGATGGAATGGAATAAAGCGAGAAACTTCATGTTCAGCTCTTGCCTGATCTCAAAATGTGAAAGAAGAAGTGTGTCTTCGTCTAGCTTCACAGTGGTGAACGTTCTCCTTCGATAAAGGTTACACGCGTAAACCTTCTTCTGTTTTTATAACAGGAAACTCTAACGGAATATTTTATAAAATGTGACCAGCTTTTTATTACAGTGTGAAGCTAATAATAATAATAAAGAATTCTTTACAAGAGAGCAATAAGATTCTATTTACACTTCATTCTTACAAGTTAATACCTAAAAATATATGTATGTAGCCTGTAATTTCCAATATTAATTGATTATTAGCGAACGCGTGAGTGAAACACAATAAAATGCAAACCTTGGTGCCTTGGTAAAAGCGTGGTGACAGCCTCAGTGAAAATTACAACTTTCCAGTTACTTCCAGTTAACGACAAAGAGACTTAATAAAATTTAATTTGCATAGAAACTCGCAATTTATTCATCATTTTAAGAATAGAACAACGTTCTGAACATTCAGAANGTGGCTCGTTTTTATAGTCGACGATTGTCAACAACTATAAAAACGAGTCGCGAGGCTCGAATAATCGTATCTTCTCTTCCCAAATCGTCCATTTTTGTGCACAAGCGTCACTTCGAGAGAATTTACTATACTTGGAAAAATCAGTAGAAATATTCTAAACTCTAAACACATTGACGATGGAATGGAATAAAGCGAGAAACTTCATGTTCAGCTCTTGCCTGATCTCAAAATGTGAAAGAAGAAGTGTGTCTTCGTCTAGCTTCACAGTGGTGAACGTTCTCCTTCGATAAAGGTTACACGCGTAAACCTTCTTCTGTTTTTATAACAGGAAACTCTAACGGAATATTTTATAAAATGTGACCAGCTTTTTATTACAGTGTGAAGCTAATAATAATAATAAAGAATTCTTTACAAGAGAGCAATAAGATTCTATTTACACTTCATTCTTACAAGTTAATACCTAAAAATATATGTATGTAGCCTGTAATTTCCAATATTAATTGATTATTAGCGAACGCGTGAGTGAAACACAATAAAATGCAAACCTTGGTGCCTTGGTAAAAGCGTGGTGACAGCCTCAGTGAAAATTACAACTTTCCAGTTACTTCCAGTTAACGACAAAGAGACTTAATAAAATTTAATTTGCATAGAAACTCGCAATTTATTCATCATTTTAAGAATAGAACAACGTTCTGAACATTCAGAAATCAGATAATCGGAAATCCGGCAACGAGATTGCTGGATGAATTAATTTATGATTATACAGGTATTATTTTTAAACGACATGCAGAAGTTACTCGTTCTTGATCAGTCACACGAAACGAATCCGATAAATTAGTCTTTTCATGCATCCTATAAATACTTTAATCCCGTTGGAACGTAATTTTCACATCGTGCTTATCACCTGGGAAGCTTTCACCGAAGACCTCCGTATCTGATTAGATCTGCTTTCTATAAAACAGATTTAAAAATCCATCTTCGCATAAATATCACATCAATAATATGAAATATTTTCCTTCTTATCTTTATTATAATTTTTAGAGACATTTATCTAAAATTCTCTTGTTCGTAAGAGAGCGAATTATCGTATAGCTTCATCGAACAATGTACATTTGGAACATACATGCCGAAAAGGTTAGGGGTGTTTCAGTATTTTAGAGCTAGCAATGATTTCTCTCAAGCTGGATATGACAAACATACTAATACTTTCGTACAGTTAATTGCGTATATGTATATTAGTCATTTAAAAAAAAACACTGGACGTTAGAATATTAAATTGAAGGGATTAAGAAAAAGAATTAAATCTTGGTAGCAATTAAAAATTAAATTTTGTCTCGACCTAGAAGAATTTAATAACGTCCACATTTACAATTAGTAGATTACGTATGGAATCATTATCAGGAGTCTGATTCGTTGTTATAGTGATTAAAATAAGGCAAATACTTGAACGACTAGGTACATGTACTAATAGCATTTACTTAATATTTTTTCCCAATATTTTCGTACCCACTACTAATTGAAGACAACACATAAGAAATCTATTATTTGCTTTCACTTATACTTCGTAATTACAATATTTTGCATTAATTTACTTTTTTATGCATGCAAGTCTCGGTTTTGAACACGTATTGGAGATACTCGTCTAGTTAGTATATCCATGTTTTAATTCATGTACTTTTGAATACAATGACACACGCGTATCGAAACATACGCGTATCAACATCTTAATATGCCTTTGTATCTTATACATATATATGGTGATTATATATGAAAAAATAAGAAAAAAATTTAGTATAACATTTTTCTATCCGGAGTTCCGTTTCAAAAAATCGACTTTAATGTCTGTTCATTTTTGTAAAAGATTTAACTGTCACCAATTTTTCTACTGCCTGTTACTCAGAAGAAATCAGTTGAGAAAAGTGTAGAATCGATTCCCACCAATCCACCCATATTAACGCCCTCGCAGAACTAGTGTAAACGCGTTTCCCTTATTGGCAGAAATGATCCTTTCCTATTGGCCCCAAATTAGCCGCCCTATCGAATTTCCACGAAACGAGAGACTCGAGTTCGACCGAATAAAAACAAACTTCGCCTCCTGACTTCCGTCACGTCTTGCCCTCCCCGTGGACGCCATTTTAAGCCAGAAGCACATTAGCGTGTGCCTGTGCTTTGTGTGGGTGTGTATATGTGCATTATTTATGCGACCATGGGCGAGCGAGACGCGTGACGGGTGTCAGGAAGCGTAGAACAATCGAGTCAAAGTGAAACAGACGCAATAATTACAAGATGCAAGAGCGTTAACTTATTTGTAATGTCTGTTACGTCTTGTTCGTAATGTTTGTTAATTGTCTTGATTAACTTTTCATTGCATTAGGCAGCAAACGTGCTGTCCTATACACATATTTTTTATATTTATATTGTACCATATAATTTTCTTTATAGGGTTATCATACATAATATCATAAATATGTATTCAATATTTACGAAGTATTAGTGAAAATAATGTTTTGCTCGTGCAGTATTACTCTCATGTTCGCATAAACTAAATGACCCACAGGCAAGAGGTATCGGTCGCACGCTTCACCTAGCCTGTTCCAATTTTCAGACTTTTGACTATTATTGGTTAACACGTTGACTGCCGCGTCACCCGTATTTGGATGACAGCAAAAGTTCTCATCAGGCCACGTTATCCATAATTTGGGTGACGCTGATTTGCCTACTTACAAAGGATTTCCGAAAATATTTCGACAAACATTCTACAGGAGGTAATGAGACTATTGAATTCTTATAAAAATGGTTTATTAAAAAAATTATTCGCAGTGTATAACATTAAAACATTCTCTGCAAAGTTGAGGTTGATCAAGACAGCTTGGACAAAAAGTTGTTTGTTTTTTCAGATATGTTCGTGCCTCTGATCGGTCCATTTCGTATCTTTTATTTGAACTGTAGCTTCCTCAGTATCATCAACATTTCTTTCTTCTTCCATGACCAATTCTCTCGTAAAATCTCGTCAATAGTATCTTCATAACATTCATTATCACTAAGATTATATTTATCAGTATCCAAATCAGAATCTGACGATGTAATTTTATTTATGCTTCTCCTTCCGGGCAATCCGATCTCTTTTCATTATTGAAAAAAAA